TACACTGAGGAGACAAACAGGGTCCTTGATCTAATGAATGCTCCATTCCAATTGGATTTTGAGCAACTGCATTCATAAGCAAAAGCCCAGTTCATCAAATTGTAGCAATTGACACTTGTTCACAGAATCAAACATCCTTATCTTCATCTGCTTAGATTCTGGTGAACTCAGCTATAGCCATTCATGCTAGGTCAATGGGTACCAAGTGCAAGTTTGGGAGTTCACACACACCTCCTTGCACTTCAAATCAGCTGGCCCCTTGACTCTTAGCCCTAGTCCCCATAGGCTTGGCAGTTCACACAACTCCCTAAACTTCAGCCCAGCCTACCTTCCCTCACCTTCATCTCAAGGTCAACTGGGTGGTGCCATAGGACACATCCAAACTCAGCCAGTGTCTTCATTGCTGCAATTCCCCAAATTCCACTCACAAGTAGACATACCAGCAAACATACAGCTGGTTACTTTAACTTTCATTCCTAGAAGGAGGTTTTCTCTGATGGGCCAATTTCCCTTCCCTTGATACCTCCAAAACCCGAAAAACCAAACTGTCCACTTTTTTTTTTTTTTCCTCCCTACAGTTCTGGGTTGATCTACATGTCTCTTAAAATGCAAATATCTCAACTCTGAAGGTTCTGGGTGGGGCTTAGGATTCTACCTAAGGACCCCATACTCTACAAAGGCTTAAATCAAAAAGCTTATTTTTTCCAGGGAAAATTTTAACTTTTTTTTAACAAATCCAACCCAAGTGTAGGATGAAGACAGGCTTACAAGCTCTCTGTAATCATAATTCCAATATTTCTATCACACATGTATGTCTACTTTACAATAATAGGGATGAGAAACCAATATCCATAAGGCAGTCACACATGATGATGGTGGTGTGCCTTGGAGTCAGTTCCAACTCATAGAACCTTGTATAAAGTTTCTAAGGCTATGAATCTTTAGGGGAGCAGAAAGCCTCATCTTTCATATGGGGAATGGCTGGTAGTTTTGAACTGCTGACTTTGAGGTTATCAGTCCAATTCATAAACTCTATGCTACCAGTTGGATCAACTATCAACACTCGCGGAAGTAGCAGTCAAGAGATCAGACGATGTATTGCACTGGGCAAACCTGCTGCACCGGAACTTTTTAAAGTGTTGAAGAGTAGAGATGTCAGCTTGAGGACTAGGGTGCGCCTGACCCAGGCCATTGTGTTTTCAATAGCCTCATATGGATGCGAAAGCTGGACAGTGAATAAGGAGGATCGTAGAAGAATTGATGCCTTTGAGTTGTGGTGTTGGAGGAGAATACTGAAAGTGCCATGGACTGCCAAAAGAACCAATAAATCTGTTTTGGAAGAAGTGCATCCAGAGTGCTCCTTGGAGTCCAGGATGGCTAAACTTCGTCTCTCCTACTTTGGACATATTGTCTGGAGGAAACAATCGCTGGAGAAGGATGTCATGCTGGGTAGGGTGGAGGGTCAGAGAAAAAGAGGAAGACCCCCAACGAGATGGATCAGCCAGGTGGCATCATTGATGGACTCAGGTGTAGCAGCGGTAGTGAGGTTGGCCCAGGATCGAACATTGTTTCGTTCTGCTGTGCATAGGGTCGCTATGAGTCGGTTCCGACTCGATGGCACCTGACAACAACAACAACAACATGCTACCAGAGCTCCTAAGTCAAACACATAAACCTTTTAAAAATACTCAAGTTCAATCATTTTCTCTACCTTGGAAAAAGGTAGAGAAACTAAAAGGTAGAGACTAACACTTTCATGTGGATATGGCCTTGGGCCTCTGGCAAGGTAGATTCAGGGTAGATTCATCTTTGTTTTGTAAACAGTGTGACACTGGGTCCAGGCAACTCCAGAAGTTTCTGCTAAACAACAACAAACAACACTAAACAACAACAAAGCAAATATGCAGAGAACGCACCTTAAGTGCTGAAAGAGAAGAGCATACAAGGTGTGTTCTCTGCAAATATAAGAAAACAAAAATCCTCACAACTGAACTAATAGACAATATTCAGGAAAAGACTGAAGTTGTCAAGGATTTCATTTCACTTGGATCCACAATCAATGCTCATGGAAACAGCAATCAAGAAATCAAATAATGACATATTGCATTGGGTAAATCTACTGTAAAAGGCCTCTTTAAAGTGTTAAATATGTCACTTTGAGGACTAGGATACACCTGACCTAAGTCATGGTATTTCCAATTGCCTCATATGCATGTAAAAATTGGACAATGAATAAATAAGATCTGCTAAAAAAAAGGATGCATTTGAATTATGTTGGTAAATAATAATTAAACATACGAATGAATCTATCTTTGAAGAAGCACAGTCAGAATGCTCCTTAGAAGCCAGAAAGTGAGACTTCATCTCAAGCACTTTGGACTATGATTAGAAAGAACCAAGCCCTCTGGAGAAGGTATCACACTTTGTAAAGTAGAGGTTCAGCAAAAAAGAAGGCGGCACACAATGAGGTAGATCAACATAGTGACTGGAGCGATGAGCTCAAATACAGAAAAGGTTGTGAGGATGGTACAGGACTGGGCAGTGTTTGGTTCTGTTGTACACAGGGCCTAGAGTTGCTATCAGTCTGAACCAACCCAAAGGTTCCTAAAAACAATAGAGCCTTAAGAAAACTGGATCACTGCTTTTCTCTGTTAGGACAGAAATTAGAATACCACCCTTTGCGATAGCTAGATGCCATTGAGTCAGTTCATTGGACTCACAACCTTTGAAGGATTACTTTGGCCATCTGATTGCTTCTCCCCACGACTACCCGCATGCCTCATGGAATATTTTCAATCTGAAATTGGTTGAATCCAAGATGGGATGACTCTTCCATTAATGTGATCATGGTTGGCTTATCATCTTCCTTTCTCTTCTAGTCAAAGATGCCAGATACTGTCACCTTCCCCTACTCCACCCCTGGCTGGCTTCCCTGAGGATCATTTGTTCCTTATTTTGTGACAAACTAGCCAAAGTTCAACTATACTGAGATGAAGTTATACTCATCCAGATGAAACTCAATAATCTTTATTTGTGGCTAAAATAACTAAAATGTTTCTAATAGCATTCTAAATTATATATATAATATAGTCAAGTTAAAGTCTATCGAAAACCTCAGAGAAGATAAATTGTCATTTGAAAGACATATTTAAAGTCTTCCTATTAGAAAAGGAAAAATAAAAAATAAAATTTAAGAAACTAAATATGAATAAGTGAAGCAACCACAACTTTATCTCCTCTGGTAGTTCATTATTATTATTATCTTCAAAAGGAAATTTTTATCTTTAGTTATGACCAATAAAAAGAGATTTTTGAAAAGCTCATCAGCCATTGAAGAACTGTCAGTGCAATCTTTTTTATACAAAGGGGGAGGGGAGAAAAAAAACCTCCATAGGGAAAAGGGGAGGCTTTTCTCATTTCCAGTATAATTAGAGCAATAATTGCAAATGCCAAAATACAATAAAAAGCTCCTTAAGATATACCCCACTGATTTATTTTTAATGGCTCAAATTATACACCCTTTTGCAATGTCCACCCTGTTTCCTACATTTTAAAACTAAAATCAGTTATCCTAAATCTAGATTAAAAAACTTTACTATATTTACATTGTAATTTTCCCCTAAAAATAAACACAGTAATAAATGTAAACTCCTTAATAACTGAGCCTCTGTTGCATTTTGTGTTTACATTTGGTGTGTACACTAGAGATACTTATATGTGACCGAAGCAAATTTTATGTTTTCTCTAAAAATTTCCATTGACTTAAAAGAACAAAAGCAACACAACCTACATTCCACTAAAAACAAATTCAGTAAGCCTCTATCTACATTTCTGAAAGAAGTGTTATTAAAGAAAACTATTGAATGCCAGAACCAAATGTCACAAGAAATTAAGATATTTTTTTTCTACAATAAATACCTAAAGAGTACAGGATAAACTTTGGTGTAAACAATATATATTATTCACTTCCATTTTAGGATAGGATTTACCAAAATATCATAAATACTTAATAGCAACTGTTCCTAGTGCTTCCAGCTAAAGGCAGTAAAATGAAACATAAACCTCAGCTGTGAAAACCCCTGAGTTTTGCTTTGCATTTCATCACTCTTTTCCTTACACCCTGTTTAGGTAAGCCCAGATTCTAATGATCACCAGAGACAGCTCAACTGAATTCCAAACAGAAATATTATGAGCTCCAGTGAAACTATTAATCATGAAAATGGAAAAAACAACAACAACAGTCAAATAGTTGCTAGTTCAAGTTGTCTTGCAGATCGCTAAGAAATACCATATTTGGAGGATTGAGTAATCACACATTGCAATCCAAAATTTTATTTTACATTTCGTATAAGCCTATAAAACTTTCAAGATATCAAGATGGCTAGGCACTCCACATGCCCAAAGGGAAGATGTGTTTGGGACTGTTATGAAAACCTAAAAATTTGAAATCACATTCTAGGTTCCCTGAACACAACTTAAGAAAATTAATACCAAATATCACTGAAAAACAAAAGGCAGATCTTTAGAATTGCATTGTATATGTGATACCAAACAAAACATCTGCTTAATCCCTTTATGCAAGATAAGAGCTCTGGTAGCGCAGTGGTTATGAATCGGCTGCGAACCGCAAGGCCAGCAGTTTGAAACTACCAGCTGTTCCGTGGGAGAAAGATGAGGCTTTCTGCTCCCATAAAGATTTACAGCCTCGGAAACCCTGTACAGGGTCACTATGAGTTGGAACCGACTCCATGGCACATAACAACAACAACATACTGGAATCAGGAGTCCTGGTGTGACGCTGTGGGTTAACTGCAAAGCCATTTGAATTGCAAAGTTGGCGGTTCAAGCTCACCAGCTACTCCTTGGAAACCCAATACAGGGTCATTATGGGTTAGACAACCGATTCAACAGCACTTCACAACAACAACAACATACTGGAATCAAGATTACACTTTACAGCTTAAAAATATATAACATGAGCTCACAGAAAAATTACTCACAGAATTAATTATTCCTTTGAGAGCTTGAAAACCACCTTTAACAGGGAAAACTTGCTCCTTGGAATCAGCAATTTTTTCAAGCTTTAGGAAAAAAGTGAGGAAATTAATTAAGAAGTGATTAAGACATAACCAAAACCAAAACCCTTTGAGATCAAGTCTCACAACACCCCTATAGAGTACAGTAGAACTGCCTCAGAATGTCTCCAACAATGTAAAGTTTACAGAAACAGACTGCCCAGGAATAGCTGGTAAAACTGAACTGCCTGCTTTTCAGTTATTTATTAAGTGCTATCTAGTTATCAAGTGCTAACTTGTGCCACCAGGGCTCCTTGTCTAAGAGCTACAATATGTTAAAAATGTCATTAAAGTTTTTGGCCACATTCATTTGCAAAATTGCAGCACAATAATTAATCTACCAGTGTGGATTGTGGGAGAGGTCAGGGATTGAAAGTAATGGTAGCAATGTTAACTCTGAGCATAGCCCCCCAAAAGGAAGTTGAGTTCAGCCACAGCAACCTTCACTAAACTCCAATTGTAATACCAAAATAGTGCAGAGCTCTAGTGGTCTGCAAACATCATGAATCATGGGAATATTAACCATGCTTCTCCAAAAATTTAAATGCAAAGTCAATTATGAGTAGAAAAGTAATTTTTTAAAAAATATTTATTGTTGTTAAGTGCCATCAAGTCGATTCCGACCCATAGCGAGACCCATAGCAACCCTGTATAGGGTTTCCGGGGAGCAGCTGGTGGACTGGAACTGCCAACCTTGCAGTTTAAATGGCTTTGCAGTCTGGCGCATTAGCCCACAATGCCACACCAGAACTGCCTCAAAAATATGCTTTAGTATATGAAAGTCTAAGAATAAAATGGAAAGACTTCTAATGAAGGTTCCAAGTCTCTGTCCATTTCAATCAAGTTTTAAATCATACTAAAAACCCTAAACAGCATGTTCATAATGATCTCATCAATTGATTTAAAGAAGAAAAACAATATTCACTTCAAGTTTTTGATCTTATATTAGCATCCCAGTGTCAAGTCTTCAACAAATTTAGATTTTCATTTTCAGTCTAGCTCAAGCTATACTGCTCAAGCTATACTGCTAAGAAGTTAATATTTTTATAAAAAATAGTTAACATTGATTAATGTCACAAGTTATCTGCAAAAATAATTTGATAAATCATCCTTAAGAGAATTGTTGTTAGGTGCCATCGGGTCGGTACCGACTCATAATGACCTTATACGACCTTATGCACAGCAGAACGAAACACTGATGGTGCAATTTAAATTCAAGTTTCCAGATCTGTTGCACTCACCTGAGCTTGTTCAAATTCAAGAACACCAACACAATAAACTCTAGCACCAAGCGACCTGGTTATCTTTGCCTAGCTCAGAAGACAGAGAGAGAGAAGTCAATTATTCATCTATTAGGCTATACATGCAGAGATACAGCAAAGTATAGGAGAGTGTGAAGAACAGCTTCAGTTCAATACTCACCTCTTTCTCTGCATATGATGGCACCAGACCGTCCAATTTGCCATCTGTCAGAGCAATTACAATGCTAGAGGTTTTTAAACCTCCTGCTTTCTGAATTTGTTCATTCGCCTGAAATGAAGAATAATTATCCAACTCATAATTTAATTTTAACTTTTAACAAGTATGTTTCACCAAGCCGAATTTATAAATTTTACAAAATCAAAAATTATTACTAACAGGCTTTTAAAACAGGGTCTTTGTGTTTGAAACATTTGCATATTCTCATTAAAGAGTTGTTGTTGTTATGTTCTATGGAGTCGGTTCCGACTCATAGCGACCCTGTACAGGGTTTCCGAGGCTGTAAATCTTTACGGGAGCAGAAAGCCTCATCTTTCTCCCACGGAACAGCTGGTAGTTTCGAACTGCTGACCTTGCGGTTTGCAGCCCGATTCGTAACCACTATGCTAGTTGTTATTAGGTGTTGTCGAGTCGATTCCAACCCATAGCGACCCTGCATGGGGTTTCAAAGAAGCAGCAGGTGAGTCTGAACCACTGACTTTGCAGTCTGATGCATTAGCCCACAGTGCCACACCAGAACTTCACTGGTTTTAAGTTGATAAGAATATTTAGCTGTAGTTGACTTTTCTGAATATAATCACGGAGACTATGGAAAAATGTTTTAAAAGCCAAAAAGTAGTCTGATTTTTTTCTTATCACCACCACAACTAATTTTTTCTATCACTTTCATGCCTAGAACAATTAAAGACACACACAAATGGCAAGATAAACACATAAATTGGCTTTTGGGATTCCTTAAGAGTTACAATGCATTCTCTCCAACACTCATAAATGTAAAGGTACTTACTAGCTTTAGTCCTTCATGAATATATGTCTCTCCGGCAGGATTAACCTGTTTTAAATCCTTCAAGCCTTGGTCAATTTTACCTCTGAAAATACAGTATTATAATAATAAACAAAAGGAAAATAAGCAAAGATCGATCACAATAAACACTTCTCAAAAAGCATGGCAGCATTGCAACTGTTTTCTTCAGTTAAGAAGTAGAGAAAAGAACATGAGTTCTAAAAGCAGATAGCTCCCTAGACTTTCTTGCTACAAGCATTTAGCAATTTCTAAATTTTAACTTTTTGCTTGGATTCACAGTCAACACTCATGGCAGCAGCTGTCAAGAAGGTAAACAACGTACTGCACTAGGCAAATCTTCTGCAAAAGACCTGTTTAAAGTGTTCAAGACCAACGAGCTCACTTTGAGGACTCAGGTGTGTCTTATCTAAGCCATGACATTTTCAATCACTTCATATGCATGTGAAAGTTGGACAATGAATAGGAAGATAACAGAAAAATTGATGCATTGGAATTATGGTGTTAGAAAAGAATATCAAAAATACCAAAAAAGCAAACAAATCTGTTTTGCAAGAGTATAGTTAGAATGATATTTAGAATCCAGGATGGCAAGACTTCATCTCTTCAGACATGTTGCTAGGAGGGATAAGTCCCTGGTAGCATAGCAGATTGCCAGATGGACTGCTAACCTCAAGGTCAGTAGTTCAAAAGTACTAGTCACTCTGTAGGAGGAAGATGATGCTTTCTGTTCCCATAAAGAATTACCACCTTAGAAACCAATACAGTATACTATGAGTGGGAAACACAACAACCATTACTACCACCACCACCAGTTCCTGGAGAAGAGCATCATGCTTGGTAAAGGAGAGGGTCAGTGAAAAAGAGGAAACCCCCCACAAGACGAACTGGCACAGTGACCTCAGTAAAGGGCTGAAATACAACAACAATTGTGAGGGTGGTGCAAGACTCGGCATGTTTTGTTCTGTTGTGAATAGGGTCACTATGAGTCAGAACGGACTCAACAACACTTAACAGTAACAACAAACACACTTTAGAAAGTCCTAATATGTCGCTGTACAATAAGCACTGTATTGCTAAGCACTAGGTCGACAGTTCAAACCCATCAGCCACCCCTCAGAAATCTTATACAGGGTGCTATGCATTGGAAACATTTACCCAAGGACAACATTGAGAAGGAATCGGGAGGCAGGTGGAATGGAAATAGGATGGAGGCGATTGCAATCACTGAGATGAAGCAAAGTATTGAACGTAAAGCTGATAATCTTGTCTGTAAGCCTTCACTCAATTCACAGTATAAAGTTTAAACAATAATAGTAATTTAACTAATTTAACTGACTTTCATATTCTTACTTCTCAACTAAACTGAAAATTTAGAGTAGGCCATAATCATGTCTTTTACTTATTACTCTCTTAAGTACACTAAATACTTACTATAATGCCTTTTACAAAGTAAGTGTTTAATACATTTTTCAATTCACCACTTAAAATTTTTCATAATTCTACAGACGATGGAGTAAAAATATAAACTTGTCTTATCTAAATATTTATGTTCAGTATCTTCAGAAATGACTTAAAACTGATTCTATCTGAACACAGATATAAACTCAATACTTGGTGCTTCCCAGAAATGAATGGCAGTGTGTCCTCAAGCATTAATGCTTCCTGCCAAAAGGAAAGTAAAAAAGACAACTGAAATTCAAGTTTACACAAACAGATTTTGCCTGGCAAAAATTGTCTTCTCCATTCAGTTCAGATTTTGCTCACCAATATTTGTGAGATCAGACAGCAGCAACATTTTAAGGTGTGCCTCCTGAAGAAAATTCTAAACTAAAAGAATTGTCAAACATGAGATTCAGAGTGTTTGGGCCTGTTGACTTATTTTATTAGAAGAGAAAAGGCAGAGCAGTTCTTGATTTTTCATTCATACCAATAGTTGCCACCCTAATATCCTAAGATCACAGAATCCCATCATTACTTTTGAAGCTGCCTAGTCATAGGGGGAGAGAGTTCCTTGCCAATACATAGTCCTGGTCAACTAAGCCTTCTGTTTGTCTCTCCTCAAACTTTGGAATTTCCTTTTAGCTGTTTAGGCTCCTGAAGACATGCAATCTAATCAGTTTTGGTTCCCATTTTCCAAAACTGATCAGATTGCAAGTCTTCAAAGGAGCCTAATCAGCTAAAAGGAAATTCCAAAGTTACTGTTGTTGTTGTTAAGTGCTATCCAGTTGGTCCGAGTCATAGCAACACTGCAGAAGGTTTCTGGTGAACGGCTAGTGGGTTTGAGCTGTTAATCTTTCACTCAGTGGTACAGTGCTTATCAGTCAAATGGGGAAAAAGCAAACTGATAATAGAGTGAAAACACAACTTACCGATCTACATAATGACCTTAAAGAAAACTCTAAAGAAAGGCAGGAGGGAAAAAATGATAAAAATAAAAAGAAGACAAGTGTATTTCTTTGTTTAAAAAAATCAGCTTGAATTCAACAACATCTTTGAAGATCCGTTCACTGAGTTTTGTTTTAATTCTATATCTTCAGCAGAAGAGTAATACAGAAACTAGTATTTGTTGTGAAACTGTGATCATGGATAATGCTATCCGACCCACAATGTACCTTATAAGGTCTCACATTAGAAGTTTCTTCCGCACTCCTGAGTAATTGCTATACACTTCTTCCTTTCTGCTAATAACAACTATATAAATCTTGTCTACTTCTTTCTCTGGCTACTGGGAAGCCCTAAGTAAAATTCTTACTCATTCACAAAATTCTGATAAGTTCCTACAGTTATCTTATTACTTCATCCTCATGGTTTTAGTTTTTCTTTTTATATAAACAGAGTTTTGCTATCATGTTACATTCTACGTAGCCTCAAAAACATTTCAGAAATGGCAATATTTTAAAAAGGATTAAAATCTCAGTTTGTTTTTTTTTATTGTGAATCTCACTCTAAAATCAAATTTTTCTTTACTTTATAATTACAATGATCTGAAAAGCAGAAAGAGAAAAAGAGAGAGAAGAGGCAAACATACTGCCCTACGTTTTAAAACTCTGTTAATTTAACTAATATTGCCAATTCTGCTGGAATTTCACAAATTTCTCTCTTGCATGGACAGAGGAGAGGAAGGGAAGGACTGAAGGGGAGTGGACAGAGAGAAGGCCAGAGCAGGAGAGGGAGGATGAAAGGAAAGGGGAGGGAAATTTGCAACTTCAGCTGACTGCCTTGCACTGCTGTTTGGTGGCTTCTGTGCATCCACAGAACACTAGATTGTGGAAGGTGTGCATGACTTTCAGTGACAGATTACCCAGTGAGTAAGATAAGCATGGATTGTACATATTAATTATTGTTGTTAAGTGCTGTCGAGTCTATTCCGACCCATAGGGACCGTGTATAGTGAGGAAACAGATAAATTCAGTTTACACAAGAAACAAGACAGAGTGCCTCAAACAAGTTACCAAAATACAGAATCAGAACATATAAACAGTTTTTGAGTTACCTGATAAGGGATTTAAAAGAATGCTGATTAGGCAACTTTTTTGGCTTGTGAGAAAGATCGAGTAAACTATAGATGAAATCAAGAAAAACACAGACAAAATTAAAGAAAAAAAATCAGGAAACAAACTGACAAAATAATTGAAAAAGTTGGAACCATACAAAAACACCCATTAGAAAGCCAGAAGACTAACACGAGATTTCAGAAATAAATTATCTACTGACAGGGCAAAGAAATAGAATTGAATCACTGGAAAGCCGAATTACTGAGCTTGAAGGCAAATCTCTCAATATTCATCTGCTATAGCACAGAACGTCCAGGAATGTCTGGCCTGTGGACCATATGAAGCCTGCAAAATCATTTGGGCTGGACCTGCCAAGGCAACTGCAGTTGTAGCCATCACATTGTTGTTGTTGTTAAGTGTCACAGCTGGTGAGTCTGAATTGCTGACCTTGCAGTTCAAATTGACCTTGAGGTTGAGTGCTTACTCTTATGGTGTCACACCCGGACTCCCAGCCATCACATTGGTTGGTTATGTGCCTTGGAGTCGGTTCCAACTCATAGCATCCCTGTACAGGGTTTCCAAGGCTGTAAATCTTTACAGGAGCAGAAAGCCTCATCTTTCTCCCACGTAACAGCTGGTAGTCTCAAACTTCTGACCTTGCGGTTTGCAGCCCAATTCATAACCACTACACTACTAGAGATCCTTAGCCATCACATTAGAGGTGAGTTAATTAAATGTTTGACCAAATATAGCAGGCTAATTTTTAAGTTGATAATTTTGTACGGTCTGCAAATGTTTTGACAGAAGAAAAGGTTTCCCACTCCTGTGCTAGACTAACAATCAGAAAAACAGAACAAAAATTCCTAAGTAAACCTAAGAATTAAGTGTAGCACTATAAACAAGAATAACTTTTGTGTAACAGGCAGATGGCACAGCTGGAAGTTAGCTGCAAGATGGTGCAGAGACAAAAAAAAAAAAAAAAAATTAGAGAAAACCCTAGAGTTGTTGAAAGTAAACTTCCCTAACATCACGAAAGAAGTTAAATGAATTCCAAACAGGATAGTTCTCAAAAGAAAATCACCAAGACATATGATAATCAAACTTTTCGAAACAAAAGACAAGAATCCTGAGAGCAACTCAGAAAAAATGAAAAGTTGCCTACAAAGAAAAACTCTGATTTTTCTACAGAAACCATGCAGATAAAAAGGCAATGGAACAACACATGTAAAATTCTAAAATAAAAAATTTCCAGCCAAGAACCATGTTGTTGTTGTTGTTAGGTGCCATCAAGTCGGTACCAACTCATAGTGACCCTATGCACAGCAGAACAAAACACTGCCGGTCCTGGGCCAACCTCACAATTGTTGCCATGCTTGAGCCCATTGATGCAGCCACTTCACCAATCCATCTCGCTGGGGGTCTTCCTCGTTTTCTCTGACCCTCCACCTTACCAAACATGATATCCTTCTCCAGTGACTGGTCCCTTCTGACATATCATATACCCAGCAAAATTGTCCATCTAATATGATGATGAGATTAGGTCACTTACAGACATACAGAAATTGAAAGA